CAAAAAAGTCCCTGACCATTTACAAAAAACATACTGGGTGAAAACGCACCGGTGTGAACATGTCCCATAGGCAATCATGTTAAATGGACTGTACTGCGTTTCTGCAAAACGCTGCAGAAAAAGCTTACGTGTGAACCTAGAGTTAAGAATACTTCCCATATACAGATACAGGTGAAACTCGAAAAATTAGAATATCGTACAAAAGTTCATTTATTTCAGTAATGCAACTTGAAAGGTGAAACTAATATATGAGATAGACTCATTACATGCAAAGCAAGATAGTTCAAGCCGTGGTTTGTCATAATTGCGATGATTATGGCTTACAGCTCATGAAAACCCCAAATCCACAATCTCAGAAAATTAGAATATTACATGCAATCAATAAGGATAGAACAATATTGGACCTCTGAAAAGTATAAGCATGCATATGTACTCAGTACTTGTTTTGGGCCTCTTTTGCAGCAATTACTGCCTCAATGCGGCGTGGCATGGAAGCTATCAGCCTGTGGCACTTGCTGAGGTGTTATGGAAGACCAGGATGCTTCAATAGCGGCCTTCAGCTCTTCTGCATTGTTCGGTCTCATGTCTCTTATCTTTCTCTTGGCAATGCCCCATAGATTCTCTATGGGGTTCAGCTCAGGTGAATTTGTTGGCCAATCAAGCACAGTAATCCCACGGTCATTGAACCAGGTTTTTGGTGCTTTTGGCAGTGTGGGCAGGTGCCAAGTCCTGCTGGAAAATGAAGTCAGCATCCCCATAAAGCTCGTCTGCGGAAGGAAGCATGAATTTCTCCAAAATCTCCTGGTAGATGGCTGCGTTGACCCTGGACTTAATGAAGCACAGTGGACCAACACCAGCAGATGACATGGCTCCCCAAATCAACACAGACTTCACACTGGAAACTTCACACTGGACTTCAAGCATCTTGCAGTTTGTGCCTCTACATTCTTCCTCCATACTCTGGGTCCTTGGTTTCCAAATGAGATGCAAGAGTTGCTCTCATCAGAAAAGAGGACTTTGGACAACTGAACAACAGACCAGGTCTGTTTTTCTTTAGCCCAGGTAAGACGCTTCTGATGTTGTTTGTTGTACAGGAGCGGCTTGACAAGAGGAATACGACATTTGAAGCCCATGTCCAGGATCCGTCTGTCTGTGGTGGCTCTTGATGCACTGACTCCAGCCTCAGTCCACTCCTTGTGAAAGTCCCCAACACTTTTGAATGGCCTTTTCCTGACAATCCTCTCCAGGCTGCGGTCATCCCTGCTGCTTGTGCACCTTTTTCTTCCACACTTTTCCCTTCCACACTTTTCCCTTCCACATAACTTTCTATTAATGTGCTTTGATACAGCACTTTGGGAACATCCAACTTCTTTTGCAATTACCTTTTGAGGCTTTCCCTCCTTATGGAGGGTGTCAATGATGGTTTTTCGCACAACTGTCAGGTCAGCAGTTTTTCCCATGATTGTGATTCCTACTGAACCAGACTGAGAGACCATTTAAAGGCTCAGGAACCCTTTGCAGGTGTTATGGCTTAATTAGCTGATTAGAGTGGGACACTTTGAGCCGAGAATATTGCACCTTTTCACAATATTCAAATTTTCTGATATTGTGGATTTGGGGGGTTTTCATGAGCTGTAAGCCATAATCATCACAATTATGACAAATCACGGCTTGAACTATCTTGTTTTGCATGTAATGAGTCTCTCATATATTAGTTTCACCTTTTAAGTTGCATTACTGAAATAAATGAACTTTTGCAGGATATTCTATTTTTTTCAGTTTCACCTGTATAGGCCTTATGCACACTGGACATTTTTAACCTGGCTGTTATGGATGTCTGCCATTTTATTTTATCTCTAAATGCCCCTGCCTGTTATCCTATGTTTCCATGCACACATAAGCGTTCAGAGGAGTTTAGAAGCAGCAAAACCCCACTGCCAGTGCATCCAGGAGTTTTGGCAGAAAAAACTCATCTAAATGCATTAATGCTAGACACATTTAGCTCTAGAATGTTAATTCATTTCAATGGCCAGAATAAATTATTATTCTGGCCAATGAAATTAATTAATGCCCAAGTGTATGATGTGCCTAAACACATTACATGTCACATTAAACTTTGCAAGCCTCAGGTGTTTTTTTCGTTGAACGTTGTTGCCAGGAGGAAAGGCATCTAGGAGACATTACCAAAATGTACTGTGTGCTTAAGGCCATACCTGTGACCTTGGCAGCACACAGGCAACATGTGCTGGGTGTTCAGTAGTATCCCATGAAGGGACAGAATCTTTCTGATGAAGAAAAGATTGTTAATTGGTCAGATTGGTTGTTAATGCCCAACTGCCATCTGTGGTCTGGAGGAAAAGAAAGAGAGCTTATTGTCTGCAATCATTTATTGTTCTTCCAACGCAATCAAATTTTCCTTTCCTTTATCCTCCTTGCTTGTCCTTCTGTTTGGTCCAATTAACAGACCTGTATTAAACAAAAAAAATACTATTAAAGTGGACCTATGATTGGATATATTTTTTCATGTGATGTACAGCATGCACAGTTTATGTGTCGGTGTAACGTTGCCCATACATTAGTTAGTTTTTCTTGTTCAACCAGCAAGTTGAACAAGAAACATTAACCCATTTCCCCCAGTCCCATGAGACTTCCCTGCTGTTAGAATACGCAGATTGGTGCTCCAGTGCTGATCAAGCAGCTAAGATCCAACAGGGCAGTTGAACAGAACAGAAGTTGATTGGTCATGGATTTGAATTCAGCTGGTTCATTATGGCCGAATTTCAATCCATGTATGGCCGAATTTCAATCCATGTATGGCCAGACCAACTCTCTCAGGTATTTATTACGTCAGAATACAGTCACTCCCCTAAATCCATCATATAGCCTCAGATATGTCACATTGCGTCAAGTCTGTCACACTGCATTAGGTCCGTCATACAGTACTATGTTCATCACGTTCCTCAGGTCCATCACACTGTGCCACATCTTTCATACTAAATTAGGTCTTTCACACTGCCCCATTTCCATCATGCTGCACGAGCCCGTCATACAGCACTGCACCACAACTATCACATTGCATCAGGTCCATCACAGTGTGCCATGTCAATCATGCTGCATCAGATCTGTCATGCTGGGCCAGGTCAATCACATTGTGCCACATCTACCACACGGCATTAGGTCTGTCACAATGCATAGGGTCAATCACATTGCGCCACATCCATCACACTGCATCAGGTCAATCACATTGTGCCACATCCATCACACTGCATCAGGTCAATCACATTGCGCCACATCCATCACACTGCATCAGGTCAATCACATTGCACCACATCAGTAACACCGCATCAGGTTCATCACACTGCACCACATCTGTCACATTGCATCAGGTACATCACACTGTGTCACGTTTGTCACATTGCATCAGGTCCATCACACTGCACCACATCTGTCACACCACATCAGGTTCATCACACTGCACCACATCTGTCACATTGCATCAGGTCCATCGCACTGTGCCACGTTTGTTCACATTGCATCAGGTCCATCACACTGCACCACATCTGTCACATTGCATCAGGCCCATCACACTGCACCACATCTGTCACATTGCATCAGGTCCATCACACTGTGCCACGTTTGTCACATTGCATCAGGTCCATCACACTGCACCACATCTGTCACATTGCATCAGCCCATCACACTGCACCACATCTGTCACATTGCATCAGGCCCATCAGGTTCACATCACACTGCACCACATGTGTCACATTGCATCAGCTCCATCACACTGCACCACATCTGTCACACCATTGCATCAGGCCCATCACACTGCACCACATGTGTCACATTGCATCAGGCTCCATCACACTGCACCACATCTGTCACATTGCATCAGGCCCATCACACTGCACCACATGTGTCACATTGCATCAGGCCCATCACACTGCACCACATCTGTCACATTGCATCAGGCCCATCACACTGCACCACATGTGTCACATTGCATCAGGCCCATCACACTGCACCACATCTGTCACATTGCATCAGGTCCATCACACTGCACCACACATGTGTCACATTGCATCAGGTCCATCACACTGCACCACATCTGTCACATTGCATCAGGCCCATCACACTGCACCACATCTGTCACATTGCATCAGGTCCATCACACTGCACCACGTCTGTCACATTGCATCAGGTCCATCACACTGCACCACGTTGTCACATTGCATCAGGTCCATCACACTGCACCACGTTGTCACATTGCATCAGGCCCATCACACTGCACCACATCTGTCACATTGCATCAGGCCCATCACTGCACCACATCTGTCACATTGCATCAGGTCCATCACACTGCACCACGTTGTCACATTGCATTATGTCTGGGTTACTGTGTTGTATATGGAATTGAAGGAAGGTGGCTGCCATCTCTGTCTTGTTTCTGAAAATGTTTGTTTGGCAGCCCCACACATCCAAAGGTGTTCATAGTTTGAGTCATTGATGTAAAAAAAAAAAAAAAAAAAGCCATGCAGATCCGAACTTCTGACTTTAAATTCAGATGTCGCTTAGATTCAAAAAGTTATTCATCCAGAGACAGCTAGGTGGATAGATATCTAGGAGACCGGTAGTGGCAACCCCCAGTACGGCAGTATGTCTCAGTACAGGGAAATCACAGCAAACCTTTACTGATTCCCATTCCACGTTATATTTTCCTGATGCTCATTCTTTGTGTGATTTTTACATGCCTGTGGTGCAGGGGTGGACTGACCATTTGGAAACTTGGGTCAGTAGGGGGCCCCATGAGATGCCCCTGGTACCTCTTTCATAGGCTTTTTTGAGTTTTGGAAGATCACAGGGGCCCCATGATCCCCTATTGCCCGGGGGCCCCATGAGTTGTCAGTTCGCCCCTGCTGCGGTGCTATATTTCTTATATTTCAGTTATATTCATGGAGTTATCCTCTAGTGGTCATCAGACTGTGCTCTGGGTGTGTCACCCTGCTGAAAACCAGATGAGATAAGATCTTATCTATACTCCTGCTTATAACACTCATGGCACCTTAATGTGTACCTGGAGCGTACTGCGTGGTCCCTCAGTCAGTCCTATTTCATGTTATTTTTGCATGCTTAGTTGCCATAAATGCCAACGATCCTGGATTTTCCAGGACAATCCTGCATCTTAGACCTCAGTCACAATGATAATGTGTTCCGGCAATGACCTGGGATCACAGTGTCACCCATACGCCAACCTGATCAAGCATTCATTATGGTTAATAGGGACTGGGAGGGGGCAAATCCTGCATAATTAGAGACAAGGTTTGGGTGGGCCTTTTTGGTAAGTGGGTGGGGTCTGAGTGGACTGTGGGAGGGGTTAACTGTGTCTCGGGGACTGAAATATTACATTGCAGCTTGGAGAGTTGGGTCCCTCAGTACTGTTAGCAGTCAGTGTGAACAGGTTGGAGATTTGTGCTGAGTGGAAGGAACAATAAAGTACAACCACTGTGAGAGGAAAACAGACCCTATGTAAGTGATGACTGTTTGACTTCCTGTGTAGAGATAATTACACAATGTGCCAGTAAACACGGGGTAAACACGTGAAGTGACACGGATAAGATGATTGATCTTCCCATGTAAAGAACTCCAGAAATGCAGAGGATTCCCAGCAGTGACTCTGATTGGTGTGATGTCAGATTCTATATAGTGGAGATATTAATGCCATGTACAGCAGTAAGGGGAAATTCTATACAAACATCCCCTGTGTCTACATACATGTGACATGCACAGCTTTATGGGAGCACTCTACACAAACATCCCCCCATGTCTACATACATGTGATATGTATAGCATTATGGGAGCACACTACACAAACATCCCCCCATGTCTGCAAACATGTGATATGTATAGCATTATGGGAGCACGCTACACAAACATCCCCCCATGTGTGCATACATGTGATATGTATAGCATTATGGAAGCACGCTACAATATGTATAGCATTATGGAAGCACGCTACACAAACATCCCCCTGTGTCTACATACATGTGATATGTATAGCATTATGGGAAGACACTACACAAATTCTACATACATGTGAGGGTGCATTATAGGGCGCACAAACATCCCCCCGTGTCTACATACATGTGATATGTATAGGATTATGGCAGGACGCTACACAAGCATCCCCCCATGTCTACATACATGTGATATGTATAGCATTATGGGAGGACACTACACAAACATCACTCAGTACAGGGGGCCTCTACTGAGACCTCTTCTTGTGTTTACATACGTGTGACATGTACAGCAGTATGGAGAGTCTCTACAGAAACACCCCCCTGTGTCTACATACACTTGACAAGTGCAGCAGTATAGGGTGGGGGGGATTCTACATAAACCTCACTCCCATATCTACATTTATATGACATATACAGCAGCATATGGCTAAACATCACCTCCCCCTCCACGTCTTGTATATATGTGACATGTACAACAGTATGGGGGGGATTTCTACACAAACACCCCCTTTGTGTCTACATACATGTGACATATACTGCAGTGTTGGGGACTTTACACAAGCATCACTCCTATGTCTACATACATGTGACATATACTGCAGTGCAGGGGGACTTTACACAAGCATCACTCCTATGTCTACATACATGTGACATATACTGCAGTGCAGGGGGACTTTACACAAGCATCACTCCTGTGTCTACATACATGTGACATGTACAGCAGTACTGGGGACTTTACACAAGCATCACTCCTGTGTCTACATACATGTGACATGTACAGCAGTGCAGGGGACTTTACACAAGCATCACTCCTGTGTCTACATACATGTGACATGTACAGCAGTGCAGGGGACTTTACACAAGCATCACTCCTGTGTCTACACACATGTGACATTTACAGCAGTGCAGGGGGACGTTACACAAGCATCACTCCTGTGTCTACATACATGTGACATGTACATCAGTGCAGGGGGACTTTGTACAAGCATGACTCCTGTGGCTACACACGTGACATGTACAGCAGTGCAGGGGGACTGTGTACAAGCATCACTTCTATGTCTACATACATGTGACATGTACAGCAGTACAGGGGGACTTTACACAAGCATCACTCCTGTGTCTACACACATGTGACATGTACAGCAGTGCAGGGGGACGTTACACAAGCATCACTCCTATGTCTACACACATGTGACATGTACAGCAGTACAGAGGGACTTTACACAAGCATCACTCCTGTGGCTACACACATGTGACATGTACAGCAGTATGTGAGATCCTACAGAAACATCCCTCCTATAGGGTGTTATAGGGTGACAGTGCTCTGACCCTGTCTGACAATAGGTTTGCTGTCATCACCCTGTTACACGTATGGCACACTAAAGTATATGTGAAGCTTGCTGCAATGGTATCTCAGTGAGTTTTCTTGTGTATATAGTTCAGTATAGTGCGGCCCCCTCCTAGGATGTGTATAATCTAGTTCAGTGTAGTGCGGCCCCCTCCTAGGATGTGTATAGTCTAGTTCAGTATAGTGCGGCCCCCTCCTAGGCTGTATATAGTCTAGTTCAGTATAGTGCGGCCCCCTCCTAGGCTGTATATAGTCTAGTTCAGTATAGTGCGGCCCCCTCCTAGGATGTATATATAGTATAGTATAGCGCGGCCCCCTCCTAGGATGTGTATAGTCTAGTTCAGTATAGCGCGGCCCCCCCCTAGGATGTATATAGTCTAGTTCAGTATAGTGAGGCCCCCTCCTAGGATGTGTATAGTCTAGTTCAGTGTAGTGCGGCCCCCTCCTAGGATGTGTATAGTCTAGTTCAGTATAGTGCGGCCCCCTCCTAGGATGTGTATAGTCTAGTTCAGTATAGTGCAGCCCCCTCCTAGGATGTATATAGTCTAGTTCAGTATAGTGCTGCCCCCTCCTAGGATGTGTATAGTCTAGTTCAGTATAGTGCGGCCCCCTCCTAGGATGTGTATAGTCTAGTTCAGTGTAGTGCGGCCCCCTCCTAGGGTGTATATAGTCTAGTTCAGTATAGTGCGCCCCCTCCTAGGATGTATATAGTATAGTGCGGCCCCCTCCTAGGATGTGTATAGTCTAGTTCAGTATAGCGCGGCCCCCTTCTAGGATGTATATAGTCTAGTTCAGTATAGTGCGCCCCCCCTAGGATGTGTATAGTCTAGTTCATTATAGTGCGGGCCCCCCTCCTAGGATGTGTATAGTCTAGTTCAGTATAGTGCGTCCCCCTCCTAGGATGTATATAGTCTAGTTCAGTATAGTACGGCCCCCTCCTAGGATGTATATAGTCTAGTTCAGTGTAGTGCGGCCCCCTCCTTGGATGTATAGTATAGTCTAGTTCATTATAGTGCGGCCCCCTCCTAGGATGTATATAGTCTAGTTCAGTATAGTGCGGCCCCCTCCTAGGATGTATATAGTCTAGTTCAGTATAGCGCTGCCCCCTCCTAGGATGTGTATAGTCTAGTTCAGTATAGTGCGTCCCCCTCCTAGGATGTATATAGTCTAGTTCAGTATAGTACGGCCCCCTCCTAGGATGTATATAGTCTAGTTCAGTGTAGTGCGGCCCCCTCCTTGGATGTATATAGTCTAGTTCATTATAGTGCGGCCCCCTCCTAGGATGTATATAGTCTAGTTCAGTATAGCGCGGACCCCTCCTAGGATGTATATAGTCTAGTTCAGTATAGCGCTGCCCCCTCCTAGGATGTATATAGTCTAGTTCAGTATAGCGCTGCCCCCTCCTAGGATGTATATAGTCTAGTTCAGTATAGTGCGGCCCCCTCCTTGGATGTGTATAGTCTAGTTCAGTGTATAGTCTAGTTCAGTATAGTGCGGCCCCCTCCTAGGCTGTATATAGTCTAGTTCAGTATAGTGCGGCCCCCTCCTAGGATGTATACAGTCTAGTTCAGTATAGCGGCCCCCTCCTTGGATGTATATAGTCTAGTTCAGTATAGCGCGGCCCCCTCCTAGGATGTATACAGTCTAGTTCAGTATAGTGCGGCCCCCTCCTAGGCTGTATATAGTCTAGTTCAGTATAGCGCGGCCCCCTCCTAGGATGTGTATAGTCTAGTTCAGTATAGCGCGGCCCCCTCCTAGGATGTATATAGTCTAGTTCAGTATAGTGCGGCCCCCTCCTAGGATGTGTATAGTCTAGTTCAGTATAGTGCGGCCCCCTCCTAGGATGTATATAGTCTAGTTCAGTATAGTGCGGCCCCCTCCTAGGATGTGTATAGTCTAGTTCAGTATAGTGTGGCCCCCTCCTAGGATGTGTATAGTCTAGTTCAGTATAGCGCGGCCCCCTCCTAGGATGTGTATAGTCTAGTTCAGTATAGTGCCCCCCCCGCTGAACAGGAGACTGATAGACAAAACACAGCGGCTTCTCTGCTACAATTGTTTAGTGCGACATCCTGTGTGGCTCACAGTGCTGCTGCTGTGATTGGCTCCTCTGTATCCAGGCGACCTTGGAAGGTTCTGGGTGAACAGGGGTGACCCTTGCAGATCAGCAGCATGAATATACAGTTGTGGCCAAAATTATTCAACCCCCACTGAAATTGAGTGTTTTGGCCAGTTTGACATTGCTTTTGATCATTCAGTCATCTTGCTTACATTTACATTAAAGAGGCACTTGTAGGTCAGACAAATATAACATAACAGTTATAATGAAATAACCACAAATGTCTTTTCTGTGCTCACAGCATTATCAGTTTTATTCAACCCCCAAGTGACATTCAATCTTAGTACTTAGTACAGCATCCTTTTACAGTTATAACAGCTTTTAAACGTGAAGCATAGCTTGACACAAGTGTCTTGCAGCGATCTACGGGTATCTTCGCCCATTCTTCATGGGCAAAGGCCTCCAGTTCAGTCACATTCTTAGGCTTGCGCACTGCAACTGCTTTCTTTAAGTCCCACCAGAGGTTCTCAATCGGATTTAAGTCTGGTGACTGCGATGGCCACTCCAAAATGTTCCAGCCTTTCCTCTGCAACCATGCTCTAGTGGACTTGGAGGTATGCTTGGGATCATTGTCCTGTTGAAAGGTC